GGACCCCGGCCGGCAGGACGCCCGCCGCGGCCCGAACCTGGAGCCCGCCCATTGCCCGGCGTTTCCTTCTCACCCTTCCTTTCTTCTAACGAAAACCCAGATTGATGACAAGTTTTATTGGATACTGAGTAAATATCAAGCAGATGTTAGCAGCATGTGGCAGACAAACTGCTCTTCCGCGGAAAATAAATCCCGGCTCGTTGCCAGGCGTCGGCTCCAGCTCCTGGCGCACCTGAGTGGGCGGGGCCTCTGCGGGCGGGGCGGGGCCTGGCTGCTGCGCCCTGGGGCTCCCCGGGCCACCTTCCTTTGGCCCCAGGGTGAGAGGCTCAGGACCCCCAGCCGCAGACAGGCTCTGGCCCCGGGGCGTCAGCAGCTTCTGCCCCAGGCCCGGCGGCCTGGAAGGGGTCCTGCGGTACCTGCTCTGGTTCCTGGTTCCGCTGGGGACGGGGCCTCAGGGCCAGGCGCCCCAGGTCTGAGTCTGAACTGGGGGTGTGAGGAGGGGTGACGACAGCTGCTCCCACCCGCCTGCCTCTCCAGCGGAGAGCCCCAAAGCCCGGGCACCGGTCCCTACAGCCGACTGGGCTCCTAAACTCGGGGAAGGGGCTCCCAGCGCTCCCATCCTCAGGGGTGGAGGACGGGGCTGGAGGGCCCCTCTGCGGGCTGACTGACCGCCGCGGCCCAGGGGGCGCAGAGCCGATGGCGCGGGGCTGACGTCGCGGGCCTAGGGTGGGTGACCCCAGGTCCTGCTGGGCCTGGATATTTTTGTCCAAACATTGTCTTTCAGAGACACAGAAACACCAAGTCAACAGCGGACTCTGCCTGTCTCCTCACGGGAGCTGCACCTGTGCACCCCGATCTGCCGGCGTGCCCCAATCTGCTGCCGGCTCCCCACTCCCACTCCTCTGTGAACTTCCGCCCAGCTCCTGCAGCTCCCCTTGCCCCAGGTGGCCCCACTGAGCTGCTCCACGGGGAGGGGTGACGGAGCCGGCTGTCCCCCCTTCTGCCCTGGGACCCCGTCCCCTCTGACTCACAGGCAGGGACGAAACCAAAGCCAGGGAACTAGGGAGTCACAGAGAACAGGAAGGTGCCTCGAGGGAGGGAGGCCCAGGCCCGGGGGGATCATCCCGCCCTGGGAGTCTGTCCCCAGCACTGGCGTCCTCAGGACTCCGGAGGCTTCCTGGGGCTGAGGATGACCCTCCTGCCAGGGCCGCAGCCTCGGGGGTGAGCTCCCTGGCCCCTGGGGCTGCTGCCCCTCCTGGCACAGGCTCCTCCAGGACCCTCATGGTGGCCCCAGGCCCCCAGGGAGGCTGTGCAGCTGCTTCTGCCCTCGCAGGGATCCTCAAGGCTCTATGGGTGCCTGCAGGCCTGCTTGGGCGGGGGTGACAGCTCCCTGAACCCTGAGCTCCTGACCAAGGGCAGGCCCCCCTCCATAGTCCCCCGTTAGAGGGTCCCCATGACCAGAGGTCTAGACCCGTGGAGGGGGTCCGGGCGGCGGGGCGGTGAGTGGCCGGA